AAAAGTTGACTCAGTTCAGTTAGCCTCCTCAAAATTCTGCGTGAGATCTGAACTTCATCATCCTCTTCCTCCTCTCCAGAAGCAAGAGGTACTTTTCTATCCACAGATTGTTTGGGTAGAGTTTCTGCCAGCCTCCTTAGACGAGTTTGTCTCCATCAAGCTGGTTTAGGGTCTGGGAACCATTCCTGTCAGCTGTTTTGTCTCAGCCTGTCATGGTAAAAGTGTTTGCTGCCAGAGATGCCTGAACTTTAGGATTTTGGGCTTGTAAACATAATCACCTCTGCAATACCAAAGATGTAGTCTACTTCTAACTTCTTTAAGGAAAACTAAAGTTTTTCATCGCCTGCTCTAGCTGTTTTTGCACCATTTTCTTAACTATAAGCAGTTCCTTTCCCACTGATGCACACTTATATCTGCAGTTTGGTGAGTTCTTCCTGGTTTGTGGTGTTTCTTTCATCTCGCAGAGCAGGATTTTTTTAAATTCACAGCTGACTTTTTTTTTTTTCTTTTAACTTTTTAATTTAATGCTTTGTTCAACTTAAGGATAAATACTTATTAAGGATACTGTATATAAGGAAACCTGACTTAATGAACCAACGAAATGCTGAAAATTGTTATATGGTTTTTGGTTTTGGTTTTGGTTTTTTTGTCTTTTTGAAGCAGGGTCTCCCTGTAGCCCCAACTGTCCTGGAACTCATTATGTAGACAAGGCCTTGAACTCACAGAGATCCGCCTGCCTCTGCCTCCCAAGTGCTGGGGCTACAGGCGTGCACCACCACGCCCGGCTGTTACATGGCTTTTTATAGTTAAGTTGGGTTTTGAAGAATTGGTGAAAATGATGATTATCACAGCTGGGCCAAACCTCTTGCGATACCTGTCCATCACTGTGTGGAATTTGTTGTCTGTTTTCCTTCTTTGACAGAAGGAAAGCTACAGCTATAGTTTATTTCTCTTTTCTGGTATGCGAAGGAGGAGATTTAGGCAAAGCCACAGCTGACTTTTAGTTCTTTGCTATATAAAGTCCTTCATTGCTTCTTGGGTTTGGAGAGTGAGTGCTGGTTTCAGTTGTATGTATCTTACATCAGTTAGCTGCAGAAGCTAACCATCTGAGCCATGCCCAATTTGCCTTTAGTGTTCTAGTAACTTTAAGGGGAATGTGAAAATGAGCAGCTAATGAAGTGGAATCAGAGTTCAGATTTCCAGGCATGTTAGGAGGTAACTCTTGGTCTTAGAATGCCCTAGTGTCCCAAGTGCATTCTTTTGCACAGTGACTCATTTGGCCTAGACAATGTGTCTGTGGCTGCTGCTGATAGATACCCTGAAGGCCCCCACCCCAGGCTTATGTTTTTTTCTTTTTAAATTTTTTATTACATCTTATTGGGGGGGGGATTTACATGTGCCATAGTAAGCATATGGAGGTCAAAGAATAACTTACTCTTTCCATAGTGTGGATCCCAGGGATCAAACTCAGGCCACCAGACTTACTCAAGCAAGCACCTTTTTACCCACTGAACCATCTCTCCTGCCCCAGTTTATGTTTTTTAAAACCACCCAGCATAGGTGGTTTTAAAAAACTACCCAGGGCCTCTCTTAGAGGGTGCTTCAGGTAATAATCTTATTGAAATGGGTTAGTAGCTTCACACCTCCCAAAAATCTCTGGTATTTCTAGTTGGTAATTGTCATGAGGACACTTTGCTAAACTTTAGATGGGGGAGTACAGGGGAAAGGCAGAGATTTCAGTTTACTTCCGATACTTAAAGCAACTCTAAAATTCCTGACTTATAGCCAGGCATGGTGGTGCAAGCCTGTAGTCCCAGCACTTGGGAGGCAGAGGTAGGCGAGTGAGTTCCAGGTCAGCCAGGGCTTTATAGTGAGACCCTGTTCCCCCCAAAAAATTCCTGTTTAAATATTTTTACTCTGCATGAAGTTCATACGTGGAATCCTAGCACTTGGAAGATGATGGTAGGCAAATCAGGAGTTCAAGGTCAGCCTCAGCTACATAACCAGTTCAAGACCAACCAGAGCTACATGAGACCCTTTCACAAAGCACCAAAAAAGGAGATGGCTCCATGATTAAGAGCACTTACTGCTCTTCCAAAGGACTTGGGTTGGGTTTCCAGCACCTACATGGCAGCTCACACTCAATTCCATGGGATCAATTCCACACTCAGTTTTTGGCTTTCCAGGCATTGCATGAACATGGTACACTTACATGCAGGCAAAAACACTCATACATATAAAAATATTTTTTTAAAACACACAGAAAAAAAGATTTTTCTTCTCAAATAATTAAGTTTAAGAGCTAATTAGGAGTAGTAAACTCATTTGAGTAGCTCATTTGATAGGGCAGTAGTAGAGTAGGGGATTTCCATTTTTGTGGAAAAGGATTAGTTTTGCATAGAGACTTGCTAAACATCTCAACGCATAAATATACAAGGTAAAGGATGTATATAGCATTTATAGAACACAGAGAGGAGTGACAGTGAATTTTGGATCCTCTGATAATGTAGGAAGGAACAAATGACACGTTTTTGTTGTCTTTTACATTTCAGAGACAAGCTGTGGTAAGGCTGAAACTAGCCCAAGTGGTGGCCTGTGGCACGGTCCTCCTTCAGCTTCTCTAGCTGGGAATTCAGAAGCCAGAGAGTAGAAAACAAGAATTCCTCCAAAGGCAGGGTTATGGTTGACTAACAGGCAGTCAGGCATGGTGGTGCATTCCTGTAATCTCTATTCCGGGGGGAAAGCCTCCCTAAAAGATTAGAGTGCTGGGATTACAATAGTGCACCTCCACAGTGGCAGCTATGAGATGTTAAATTGATTGTGAGTGAGGATACTTTGTTCTGATGCCTTTTCCTCTTTTTGCTATTTTTTAAGGTGAAAGACTTGGTCGCCAGGATCCATGGAAAATGGCAGGAAATAATCCAGAACTGTCGGCCTACTCAGGTATCATTTTATTTATTATTAATCATACTACTAAATGGTATTCTTCATATTGTCTAAATGAAGTATAACAGTACTTGCTTCTAATTATCTTCAGATAATCTGAAATGCCAGTATGATAAATGGCTTATATATGATTTTTAGGTTTTGATTGCTTTCTAGGCATTAATTTATTTTCAGAAATGTTTGCACCATTTAAAAGTGTTATATTGCAGTCAGGGGCGTGGTGGCACACACCTTTAACCCAGCACTCAGGAGGCAGAAGTAGACGGATCTCTGTGAGTTCAAGAACAGCCTGGTCTACATAGCGAGTTCCAGGCCAGCTGGGGCTACAGGGAGACCCTGTCTCAAAAAAGACAAAAAAAAAATTAAAAAAGAGTGTCATATGACAGCAAATGGAAGTTATTTCATGAGGAGCACTTGACAGTTCTAATAAGATACACATTAAACATTTTACCCACTTAAAAGTATAATGGTTGTTAGTATAGTCACAGAATCAAGAATATCATCACCACAGTTTAACTTCTGTAGTCACTTCCCATTTCCCCACTGTCTTCACTTCCCCTTAAGCCCCTGGCAAACACTGGTCTTTTTCTTTTTTAATGTGTATGAGTGTTTGCCTGCATGTATGTATGTGTACTACATGGATACCTGATAACCATAGAGCCAGAAGAGGGTGTCATATACCCTGGAACTGGAGTTACAGACTGTTGTGAGCCTCCATGTGGGTGCTGGGAACTGAACCCAGGTCCTCTAGAAGAGCAGCAAGTGCTTTTAACAGCTGGACCATCTCTCCATTTTCATTGGTCTATTCTTTGTTCTATTGTTTTCCTTCTTCTAGATCATTTCTATACAGGAAATATACCATGTGATCTTTTGTGACTAGCTTCTTTTACCTAGCATAATGATAAGGGAATCCATGTTGTAATATGCATATCCTTTGTGCGGCTAAACAATATTTGACTGTATGGATGTATCACATTTAATTTACCCACTTAGAAATAGGGATTGTTTCTGCTTTCTCACTGTCAGCAATAATACTTCCATGAACATTTGTATACAAGTTTTAGTGTGAATATGTATCCAAAGGACAGAATCTTGAGCACATACTTTGGAGTAGCATTGCTGTGTCATGGTAATTCTGTATTCAATGTTTTGTTATTATTTTTCTTTTTTAGAGGTCTCTACCTCAGGCCAGCCTCAAACTCCCTATGTATCTGAGGATGATCTTAAACTTCTGTTCCTCCTACCTCTGCCTCCAGGGCAGCACCATGCCCTGTTCATTCCTTACCAGGAACCAAACCCCTAAGTACATGGTAGGCAAGAGCTCTACCAATTGAGCTACATCCCCAAACCCTATGTTCAGTGTGTTAGAAAACAGGACTGTCTTCTGCTGAAGCTGCACGATTTTCCATTCCCAGCAGAATGTGTGATGGTTCTGGTTCTACTACTTCTCCCCAACTCTCATTATTGTCTGACTTTTTTGACTAAAGGCATAGTAGGATATGGGAAGTAGAATCTCATCGGTTTAATTTGCATTTCCCTGACAACTAATGATGGTTAGCATCTTTTGATGTGCTTTGGGGAAATAATCTATTTAATATATTTTGCCCATTTTCTAATTGAGTTATCTAATTGTTTAAAATGATACTTTTCAAATTTCAGAGTACAGGAATCACCTCAGAACTTGCTGAAATATGGATTCTAATTTTTCAGATCTTGAGTGGGACCTGAGATATTTTGCATTGCTAACAAGTTCTAATTGATACTGATGCTGATGCTGCTGGTCCAGAGACTAAATTTTGAGTAACAAAGGCCTAGAAATTTCTTATATTTCATGTCAGCACAGGAATGCTGACAGTTAACTAGGGAGAGTGATCTCACTCTTCATGGCATTTTTACTGTTGCTCTTGGTGCCCTTTGTGAGATGTGCACCCTCATTAGAAAAGGCTTTGAGAAATCCTAAACTTACACTTTGTTACTGTTATTTTGCTTTCTAACCTCAGTACACCTTTTTAAGGCTACCTCTTTGCAACAATATTGCATTAAAACAAAAGGATTTAATAACAAAACTTTATATTAATCAGCTTAACACATTAATCTTCTTAAATATGTCTTTTTGTAGAGAAAAATATTTGTATTTGTGTTACACATTTTTATTGTTAAAGCACAAAATGTAAATTTGAAATTTTCAGAGACGTATATTTAATGATTTAGGTCACTTTCATTAACAAAGCCTGTTGTCCAATGATTAGTTTATAAAGGTTAGCTCATAATCTGATTAAATTTTCCTTTGCTTTTTCCCTTCCCTTTTCCAGGGGCAGCTTCATGACTTCTGGGTGCCAGATTCATAACAAGAGTTAAAGCAGCAAGAATACCAATCAAGAGAAATTTATTAAGAACCTTTCCAAGAGGACTAAAAAGGATTATTGTGGAATCCAGTGGAATGCTTAAAAAATGTACAACAGATGGGCCATTTGAATATTTAATATAAAGCTGGTAATGAAGAAATTGCCATTTCTCAGGCAGATATTGAATGTGATCTGCAACTGACTTTATCAGTGAGCAGAGTCGTGTAGGAGGAGGCAGGGTAGCGCATCTTAGCTACATATCTAACCTGCCCTTTAGCACCTCTTATTAGGGGTGGTTTTCTTTTTAGCTAGTATTTGTGGCACTTGGATAACCACAGAAAGGAAGAAAGGAGTGTGGACCATCTTGAGGAGCTGGACATAGAAACCAAGACCAACGTCCAGTTAGTTTTCCTTTTCCCTCTTGGTTATTTTAGGACACAAAGGGAAAGCTTAGAACAGAGTCCTGTAATGGAAAGTGGAGGTGTATCTGTAACTCTCTAAAACACAGGAGGTTTCAGTCCACGTGTTGTCTTTTACTATTCCAGGTTATAAATCTATTAGGTTTTTAAAATATATTTAAACAATTAAGGAACAGAGATCTGGTGTATTGTCAGATTGCCCTAAGAGGACAAGATTAAGCTGTAGTGGCCCTGTTTTTAAAATGCCAAAACATCGTATGCCATTTGTCTAGGATTTCTTGTAAATGAATATATTTTTTAAAGTGCTGGTTTAATCATAAAATCTTAGCTAAATCTTAGAATTCTGGCCCTTAGTAACTATATTACAGAAGTCTCTATATAAAATCTTAAAAATCTGGAAGTTTCCAAAAGCCTTGTTTCCATGAGTATATAATTTAGCAGAGACCTTGATGTTTATTTTGGTGGACACTGTGCGTGCGTGCGTGTGTGTGCGTGTGTGTGTGTGTGTGTGTGTACGCACGCTCATGTGCGTGTGCTTGTATCTTGAAGTTGTTGCACTTGAAAACCACAGCTGCTCTAAATTCTTTTAAACACTGGAAAGCCATCCTCAAGTTCAGATGGTAGAGGGTTAGCAGTAGTGCACGTGCTAGTTTTAGCCCAAGGCCCTTTGAATCCTTTGGTTAGGTGACAGACTCTTGTAGACTGAGTGTCCGTTTTAGGAGGATTTGTTTGCTGAGAAAGAATATTGACTTTTTATTCTTTCACTATCCTTGGGTGGTTTGCTCTCTCCTGAGCACGCTGTCTCCATAGGGCCAGGGAGGGGATGGTGGACAAGGGAACTGGGCTGGATGTTTATGTTTTGAGAGGAGAAAATAAATTCTCAGAGCTAACTTTCTACCTCTAAATTGAGGCTTAGGAGTAAAACCATTTTATCATAAATTTGTCAATTAAAATAGCATCAATTACTTTTGAGCCCATGTCAAGCATTGGGCAGTTAGAGATTTCATAGGAAAGACTAAATAAATCAGTTTTCAAGAACCCAGGCTGAATGAGGCTCCAAGAGTCAGACCAACAAAAGTTTTATTCTGTGTTTACTGGTAAGAATATTATCTTGATACTACCTCTCAAGGGTATTATTACAAAATGCCACTATGGTTAAAGAGATAGATACAAAGAGTTATATTTGACAGAAGCTTGAAACTCTGGCATCTATCTGCCCAACAATGGGGGCTTTCACTCTGTAATTTAATACCTTGTAGATACATTATTTGTGTGTAATTTTATAAGTGTTCATATTTTTCTCATTTTGCATTGTGTAAAGTGTACAAAATCTCAAAAGTATAAAATTCTGCTTATATTGCTTGTAATTAGTGTGTAAATATTTTCTAATTGTGTATATTGACAGGGGGACAAGTGGGTTATTCAGGCTTTTTTTTTTTAAGTAACCCTTTTATATTGCAGTTTCAACTGATAATTGCCCATCAAATTAAAACTACTTTGATACATTTTTATTTAGCAGTTCCAATAAGAATAAAATCTCTATTTTCAAGTGTCTTTCTCCATTAGAGAAAAGTATTTCATCTGTCCCTTTAAAATAAATGGCCAGATGTCAGTTTAGGCCCTTGTGTTTGTGACTGTGGTAGAGGCCTTCAGTCTCCAGGTCATAGTCCAGTCAGTATTTGCATTTGGGTTCTCATGGAAATTTTGTGATTCACTTTTAGCACAAGTAGCCCATGTTTTTTTTCCCCCAGATCAAGTATTTTCCATCTCCCGCTGAGTCCCTCCCTGTGCTCTCTCTCCCTCATACAGTTGTTGCCCAGTGACTGGGATGGTAGAGAGGGAGAAAATGCTCATTGCACAGTGTGTGTCAGGCCACCTTGGGGACTTGGTAAACAAAGCTTGCACTGAGTGGTGTGTGTTTGGCAGCATTACTGTGCCAAAAATCACCTTGTCTCATTTTCTGGATCTGTATGTCAAACTTATTACCCTTACTGCAAGCTGAAAATTACAGTACTTGTGTTTATGCTTTTGTGTGTAACTGTTTGCCTTTTCTAACCTGCTTTTCTTGTTATCTGAAAATAGAATTCTGTAATAACATGTTCAGTGAAGCAGCTTTCTGTGCACAAAATGCGTCCGTGTAGCACTAAGGTCACAGCGCTCATACATTTTTTTTAGTCTGTCCTGATGGCAGTGGTGCCTTTGTCACCTTTTGGAAGGCTGGCATTTTGGTTTTGTTTTGAACTGCAAGTAGTAACTTGCTTTTGACTTCACAAACAAATTATCTGTGGTAAAAGATAGATAATAAAGTGTTAACCATCCAGCCTCTTTGAAACATTTGCCTTTTTTCCCCCTAAATCAAAAAGATAGCATTTGGTGGGGACTAGCCAGTTAATAATGTGTGGAATCTTTAAAGCAAGAGTAATTTTTTTTTTTTAAGTTTTTAAGAATGGGGCTGGAGAGGTGGCTCAGTGGTTAAGAGCACTGGCTGCTTTTGCAGAGGATCAGGGTTCAATTCCCAACATCCAAATGTTGACTGACAACTGTCCTTAACTCCAGTTCTAGAGGATCTGATACCACCATCTGTTCTCCACAGGTATTGCACACATGGGTGCACTTACATGCAAGCAAAATACTCTTACACATAAAATAAAAATTAAAAAAAACAAAAACTTAAAGCTGAACGTAGCAGCAACATGCCTTTAATCCCAGCACTTGGAAGGCAGAAGCAGGCAGATCTCTGTGAATTCAAGGCCAGCTTGGTCTACATGATGAGCTCCAGACCAGCCGGGGCTATATAGAGAGACCCTGCCTCAAAAATAAATAAACAAGACTTTTTAAGAAGTGACCTATTAACAAGCAGCTGAGTTAGAGAACTGACCTGGTTTGTCTATGAGGAGGCAAGAGTTGGGGTACAGGTGGCTGGGACATGTAAAGCAGTTCTGTGATCTTAATGGTTATTCTTGCACATTGGTACAAGTGCACCGTGTTCACTTTCCCTAGGCATTCTTGTCAGCCATTTAGCCTACCAGCTTTTAGACAGTAAATGTAATGTTTCCTTTTTATTTTTTAAGATTTTATTCTTCATCTTGTTTAAAGTCCTTTGAATATGTGTGTATGTGTGTGTGTGCATGTGTGTGTGTGTGTGTGTGTGATTAAAACTTTTGCATCTGTTGAACTGTGTCTGGTAACATTTGTTTGGGAGTGGAAATGGTTAAATATCTGGAATGCCCGGTTTTAAGCTGATTTCTTCCTTGCTTTGCATTCTCAGTTTTTAGCTTGATATCTCTGGAAAACAAAGCCACAGCTTTCCAAAGTTCACTTTTATATAACCAATTAGTAATTTATTGTATACTTTACAGTTTGGGGATTCAACAATTTCATTCTCCACTTCCATCCTGCAGGTGTTGAGTGCCTACAACAAAACTCTCATGACTCTTACCTGCTGGTGTCCAGGGAAAATGGGCAGAGGGTGGGAAAAAAATGCCCTTGACCTGGATACTTGTGGTGTCCAGCACTACCTGTGACCTTGCAAGGCAGGTAGGTTTTGATGTATGCCAGCTGTGGGATGGCTGACCACTCCTCGGAGTAAACTTATGCCCTCATAGAAAGCCTAGGCTTTGTTGCCAGAGCCATGGTTCCAGAGCTATGCTAGTCTTTTTTTTTTCTTTTTTTTTTTTCTCCTTTCTGCCAGGTTTGGGGGGACTACCTGTCACTGTTTTTGTTGGAAGGGATAGATGACAGCCAGGATAGAAGCAGAGACATGGGCATAATACCAGGCGACAGACAGCACAGCCTTGTATGGTTGAAGGAAAGGCCTATGTTTGGCCTCAGGTCTCAGATTCACATGTTCATTTGACCTTTGGCAAGTTAAAGTCAGAACCTTAGTTTCCTCATCTGTTGAAAGGAATAACAGTATCTACTTGAGAGTTTATAGGGACTCTGTGAACTAATGCATGGCAAGCGCTCAGCACAGCCTGGCATACAGCAAGAACTATAAAAACACTATTTAGCTCTAACTTGAGATTCTTTAAGACAAAATTGACCTAAAGCAGACAGGCACCTGTGGTATGCTGACATCTAATCAAACCCTACCTCCAAAAAGGATAATTGGAGAGGTGCTCTGTTCCTTCAGGCTCCAAGAACTCCAGAGGCTTCTATTACTGATCCTGCTGCTAAAAATAAGGGTTGTTGTTTGGGGAAGGAGTCGTGGGGAGTGGTGGTATATGTCTTTAATTCTAGCACTAGGGAGGCAGAGACTTGTAGATCTGTGTGTTCAAGGCCAACCTGGTGTACATAGTTCGGGCCAGCCAGGCCTACATAATGAGACCCTGTCTTAAAAAATAAGGGGCTGGAGAGATGGCTTAGGGGTTAAGAACACTGACTGTTCTTGCAGAAGACCTGGGTTCAAATCCCAGCACCCACATGGCAGCTAACAACTGCCGTAATTCCAGTTCCAGGGGATCCAACAGCTTCTCTGTCTTCCGCAGGCATTGCATGACACAGGTGCACTTAGGGACATGCACGTATAACACTCATACACATAAAATAAAAATAAATTAAAAATAATAAAAGATTAAGAAATAGGTTTTGATTTCTTTAATAAACCGGGCTGAAGAGGTGACTCAGTAGTTAAGAGCACTGGCTGCTCTTGCAGAGGACACAGGTTTGATTTCCAGCACCCATATGGCAGCCAGCAACCATCCTTAACTCCAGTTCCAGGGGATCTGACCTCTTCAGGCATTGCACACCACCAGTGCACCTACCTAATGCAGGCAATACACTCATACACATAGAATAAAAATAATAAAAATGTTGGGGCTGGAGAAGTGGTGCAGCGGTTAAAAGCACCGACTGCTCTTGCAGAGGACCTGGGTTCGATTCCCAGCACCCACATGGCAGCTACAAACCATCCTTGACACCAGTTCCAGGGGAATCTGAAGCCCTCTTCTGACCTCTGTGGCATTGCACGACACGGGTGCACTCACATGCAGGCAATATGCTCATACACATAAAATATTTTTTTAAAAAATAAAATTAAAAAAAAAAACAGGGGCTGGAGAGATGGCTCAGCAGTTAAGAACACTGGTTATTCTTGCAGAAGACCCAGGTTTGAATCCCAGCACCCACATGGCAGCTAACAACTGTCCATAACTCCAGTCCCAGGAGATCCGACAGCCTCTTCTGTCCTCCACGGGCATTGCACGACACAAGTACATTTACCTACATGCAGGCAATACACACATACACATAAAAATAATAGAGCTGGGTGTGGTGGAGCACGCCTTTAATCCCAGCACTGGGGAGGCAGAGGCAGGTGGATCTCTGTGTGTTCAAGGCCAGCTTGGTCTACATAGTTCAGGACAGCTGGGGCTACAGGGAGACCGTCTCAAAAAGACCAAAAAAATTAATAATGAAATTTAAAAAAATAATAAACCAAGCAGGCTAGCCAGGTGTAATAGTTTATACTTGCTATCCCCAGCACTCCCAAGGCTGAGGGGAGAGGAGGCCAACCTGGGCTACAAAGCAAGTTAAAGGCCAGCTTGAGCTACAGTGTGAAGACTGTCTCAAAACAACAAAAAGCCTGCTAAGGCTGACAGTGGTGGTGGGTGGTTTTCCAGCATCTGCGGACATGTCCTGACACTCCTAGCCAATCCCTAGGCTGGAGTAAGGAGAGGGCAAACCAGAAGGTCCAGCTTCAGGTCCGACTCTAAAGACAGCTGGCTAGGAATCTAGAAAACTTAACAGGCAAAACAGGCTTCTGAGGTACAGTGAGTCTTCAGCATTGTTGCACAGGTGACAAGTCACTACTGAGGCAGTACCTCAGCTGAGCATATGGACAAAAGATGGCACCACACAGAAGGAAAAACCAGGGGCAGAGATGGTAAAGCAGGAACAAAAATGCTGGCACCTTGAACAGGAAGTGTCTTGACTTGGCCAGAGTTCTCTCATCTGGGGGAACCTCTGCTGGAGCTTCAGGAGTTCATGTCCGCCACCCTTCCACCTGGGTCCTCCAGCACTGGGAATAACTGCTTTGAGCCAGGCCTAGAGCCAAACCAGCCTTGGCATGTATGCCAATAAGGTGGATGAAAGTGAGTGCTGAAAAGCCAGCACTGAGGAGCCAGTGCAGCTCACAGCCACTTTGTCTTACAGCAGAGCTGGAGAAGACAGCCTAGCAAAATTAAAATTCATTTGTGTTCATTTGTTTGACACTCTCCAAAGGAGTCCAAATGGGATCCTCTAGCAGCCACCCTGGGAAGCAGCCAGTGCAGTGACTTCAAGGGTGAATAACACCCTGCTCAACAAATGACCTTGCCTTGTGTCCCAGGGCAGAAAGTCACTACAAGATTAGAACTAATTTTTTTTTTAGACAAGATCTCTTGTAGCCCAGCCCGGCCTCGAACTCAGTATGTAACTGAGGATGACCTTAAATTTCTGACCTACTGCCTCTACTTCTAAGTGCTGAGATTTCAGGCACGCCCACCCACTCCGATTTATATCAGTGCTAATGTCTTTGAGTTCAAGTCTCCTGTTGCACTGATGGAATTTTCCTCTTCATATTTTCCCAATTTGGTTTGTAGGCCAAAGTATTGTCGGTGGGGGTAGGTGCTTCAGTTATCCCATCGAAGTGGGAGCAGAGCAAGAAGAAATGGATTGTGGGCCAAATCAATGTTACCAAGACTGAAGTGAATGCCCATGGACAGTGTAGCAAGGGCCATCCTAGAACTTGGCTTTAAATTCATGCATTTTGCTCATTTTAGAAGGTGAAAGATTCTGAGTCTGTCATCACAACAGCTCAGTGAAGTTCAACGAGATCCACTGAGAACCTACCACACTGGCCTACTTTGCTGCGTCCTGAGGGATGTGGAGTCAGCACTGCATGTCTGAACTTGGGGATCCAGGCTCTAGCTTACTGGGCCCTGCAGTTTCTCTCCTGTACTGGTGCTAGCAGCCTTCCTGTCCTCTGTTCCTTCAAGGAACAAGGCTACGGACTTAGCTCTCTTAACCATGTCTTTACTTAACCTGTGCTCAGTCTGTTCTAGTCTTTCCAAGATGACTTCTCCCCTCCGTCTTCCACTAGGAGCCCTAGTTTCACCAAATCAAATTCTTTGCCCTTTTGTATGCCCCTTCCCTTCTCCCTATTCAACCAAACAAGTATGCACATAAATTTAGATATTTCTACCTTTACTAGTGACACCTTGCTTACCACTTTTCAGACTTCTACAATCTTGATGGTCCTCCCTAAACTCAAGAATAGATTTTAAGGCAAAATACTAACCTGCTAAGAACCTGTTTTCCCAGCTACAAAATTGAGCTACTAATTCCTCAGAATGGGTTAGGATGGCACAATAAAATAAGTGAAACTGGGCAGTCCATAATGTGTGTGCACTTGGGCAGTGAGAAAGGCCCAACAGGTAAAAAGTGCTTGTTACCGAGCCTGACAACCTGAGTTCGATCCCTAGGACCTACGTTGTGGAAAGAGAAAACAAATTGTCCTTTGACCACTACATGTGTGCTGTGGCATTCATGCATGTACATACAAAATGTAATAAAAATTTTAACGTGTACGCAGCATCTCTCCTGCTGCACCCCACACACAATATCCTGTTTCAGAGTGCCAGTAAGACATTCTGACAGGGGGTGGAAGTGTGATGTGGGCTCTTCTGTCTGGCAGTCTGCAGTCACACACACACAGTCCAAACTATGAGACTGCATAGGATTGAGTGCCAAACTGTATGAGCTTTGGGGAATCCAGGAAGAGGAATGATGTTCTTCCTCAGGCTCCCATCAGTTTAATATGCCACTAGAAGCTTATTCAAACGCCTAGGCTGTTACCTGGGTCCCTCTCTTGACCCACAACAATATTGTTATAGATTCTGCTTGCAGAGGCCAGAGCTCAGGTTTCATGGAGACTTTAAGGCTGTTTTTCTGTGATTCTGGGGATGAAACTCGGAACCTCCTGCAATCTAGGCAAGCACTGTACCACTGAGTTACAGCCCCAACCCTAGACTTGTTTTAATAGCCCTTAGGAAGGTGGTACAGCCTGAGTTTACAGGGAAGATCAGAGTTAGGGATCTGCTCTGCTGGGGAAGGCGACTGAACCTGGAAAGCACAGGATATTTATTTGGTTGCCTGGGAATACACAAAAGTTTTGGGATAAGAATGATGTTCAAGAAAAGCTGTAGGCCAGACAGGTACCTTGAGAAACCCAGTCCCTAAGGTGAGCTGTTTGGGTTTGGACTAAGATTTAATGAGTGAGCTGTGGGAGGGCTCGTGGCTTACTTATGCATGAAGAGCATTTTCTGTAAGCACTAGAGGGCAAGCTGTGACTTCATCTCCTCCAAGCCCCCATCTCATCCACTCAGGCCTCAAGCTGAAGAGCCTGGCGGAGGGGGTTTTGCATTTAGAGCTGCCCAGAAGCTCGATCCACCCTGCTCTAGCCCCCACCTGTACACCTGCACCTTAGGCCGATGGCAGGAGTGCATAGCAAGAACCCCAGAAGTGAGGTGCAGGTTAGCGCCCAGGCCACAGCCCCCCAAACGCCCCCACTCCCCGCCCCAGGGCAGAGATCTGCGTGTCTCCGCTGGAGGTAAGTGGGAGGGTCCTAGGACCGCAGCTAGAGTAGGCCCAGCCTGTTTAGCGCGCATCGGATGGTGAAGCCCCCACCACCTGGTACCCAGAACACTGAGCGTGGAAGAAAGGAGATGCCAGGTACCGAGGGCCTCAAGCCTCTCCCCCAAACCCGGCCTATTGTGCTGGGTGAGGGGCGCAGAAGGGCGGGTACCCTTCCCCGCCCCCGTCTCCAGCCCGCCTCCGGCCCCCGCCCCACCCCCGGCTCCGCCTCCACCCCGCCCCGCTTGGCCGCGGCCCCTTCCTCCAGCAGCTGGTGCCGTGGGGCCGCCGAGCTGCGCGTTGCTGTCTCTATGGCCCTGGATCCCAGCGCAAAGGTGAGGAAGGCGGGGAGTGCGGGCGATGGTGGGGCCGGGGCCGCGGCCAGGCAGAACCTTGCCTACCTCCATACCCCCTCCAAGCTCGGCCAGGCCTTTCTCGCCGCCGAGACCCCTGGTCCCGCGTCAAAGGCGCTAGAGGGGCGCCGGCCAGGCCTCGGGTCGCGCAGGGCTCAGACGGGCCTTCAGGGAGTCGGGGGCCAGAGCGGGGCGGGGACCCGCGTGGCCAACAGTGTTCCCCTGGATCTGGGTCACGTCTCCTGGCGTCCGGCAGGATCGAAGGAGAGCTTGTCCTCGAGCTGCAGCAGTAGAAACTGAGGTTAGATCTGATGAAAGGAGGGAACCACGCACTGTCCAGGATGGTGGAGGGAGGGGAAGAGGAGGGAGAGGCTCTCTCATGCCAGAAGAGACCGCCATCCTACTGGGCAGAGGGAAAGACTGCCAACCCCAGACAGGTAGACATCTGGTATGAAGGTCGAGAGCCTGATGATCCTCCATTGATCCTGTGGAGGGAGGTCTCCCCAGTTTTCTCCACCCTAAGGGCTAACCGAAGGTGATCCGAGTTGAGGGGGCAGGCCCTGGAAGGAACCCAAACTATAGAACTTGGAATGAAGTGTGGGGTGTGAAACTGGAGACCTTGAACCTTCTTAGCCACTGGGGGTGGGGGATGGCATGCTCTCCCCATTTAACCCAGCCCTCCCAACAGGTTAAGTGGGGGCTGAGCTCAGCTATCCAGATCTAGGGGATACAGGACTGCTAAATTGCGCATTCCATTACATCTTCCCTTTGCTAAAGCCAAGGGCTTCCTTCTGCCTGGTTAGTTACCCATTCTTACCCTTGCAAAGTAGCCTTGGCCCATGCACTCACCCTTGGGTCAGAAGCCTTACCCCATATACACACCCATAGAAAGGGGGGTGGAGGGGTGGGTGGGGGCTGGCCTTAGGATCAGGACTTTCAGGAAAGGAGGCAGGATTCTGCTCTGCATCCTTCCCCAGCAGACACTGGCAGCCACCAAGCCTGCAGCAAAAGCCAGACCCCTGTATGCATTTCATGAGTGCTTGTCTCTGTATGGATGCAACTGTGTTTGAGGACTCTGAATACATGTGTGTGCTGTACCTGGCCCACTATCAACAGTCTTATGTGCATGTCCTTATACAGGACCCTCCTGTTGAATAGGTGTCATCCTTCATATAAAGCTATGTATGTAACTCTGCTTGTTCACCCAGCGGCTGTGTGAACCACTAAGTGAGCCTGTAAACACAACCTTATGTGTGACTTTGTATTACTACATGTGGCCATGGCCCTCTGTGTGAACACACATAAGCCTCCCTGTGAGTATGTGTGAATGCCTCCTGTGAAGATGTATGTTCTCAGCCCTCCTTGAACATGGTGCAAACCCTGTGTGCATGTGCATCACCTTTCTCGGGACCTATGGACTCAGAATAAACCTGCATGAGTGTACCATGCTCCCCACACTGAGTGGCTCTTCTAATCTAGGATCCTCCCACCTGAACCTTGGCACCTACTTCTCTGGCCATAGGCTCCCCTTTCTGTGCTGAGCAAATAGGAGCCCCAAAGGTAAACAGGTGTGCCTTCATAGGAAAGGGTGAGGCTGGAGCAACTTGCCTGAAGCCTCCCGCTATCTCAGCCCCCAAACCAGGAACTGATACCCTTTCTGTGGTCCAGAGACCCTCTTTCTAGCCCTCTCCTTTCCATTCTCCCCTCTCAAGACAGTGCTGACCTTGACCTCTTGAACAAACCCTCCAAATTCTGGCTATTCCTCTGACAAGGTCCAGAACCTCCCCTCTTTTCAAGGCCAGATAGTTAATATTTTACCAGGAAGGGAGTGGAGAGGCCGGTGACACCCTCTGACCCTGCCTATGAGTATTTGACGAAATGATGTGGGTCAGACTCCCTCCTGACTCCTTGCCCAACCTGGGAAATCTCAGGAGTCCCCTCAGAGATCAGAGGGAGGCCTGTCACCTAACCACTCCTCAGATGTGGGAACAGTCTCTGAGATGTGCCAAGGGAGGTGACAGGCACTCCAGATTCTCCTTGTTCACCTTCTCCACATTGCTGTCCAGGCTGTCCTCAAACTCAGAGATCCGTCTGCCTCTGTCCCTGCCTCCCAAGTGCTGGGACTTAAGGTGTGCAACACACTCCTGCTACCTCAATGCTAAAGTCTTAACTGGCCTTGCACACTTCAGCCTCCTGCGCACACTCCAGCCTCCTGCACAGACATTTCATCTGTCTACTAGGCGACCAGATGCCCACAGCTTGCCCCCATCCCTTCATGCCTGTGATTGCTTGCAGGCAGGTAGGGATAGCAGGTAGGGACATGTGTAGATACCCAGCCAGAGGGTTCAGTACAGACTCGCATGGACATAGCAGAGATGCGTACCCCCTCAGAGAAGAATGTTGGAGAGAAGTATCTAATTAAAGAGAAATTCCAGAGGGAGCTCTCAGGCCAAGGAAGAGAAAAAAACAAAGGGAAAACAGGACAAAATTAACAAAGACCCATTAAATGACTCTGCTCGGGCCTTCTTGCAGAAGACACCCCCGCAGGCAATACTGTTGGAGAAGCCTGCCTCTCTGAGAACCAGCTCCACAGAGATGAGCCCCAGCAGACTTCAGAGCGGCTAGAAGGCTTGTTACCATGGGTATGGGTTAGGACCAGTGTAAGGTCTTAGAAAGGGGACAAGTTCCCCAGCCCTCTGTACCAAAGTAGAGATGGACAGAATAGCTGTGAGCCAATCCTGGTGTGGGTGTTCTGTGGATGCTGGGCCTCCGCCCTTCAGTGCCCCCTAAGTCTGGGTAATGTCATCCATCTTCTACCCACACACAGATCAAAGAGCTTCTTTTCCTTTTTTATTTTATTTTTGTTTGTTCTATTTTATCTCCTTCAGGAAACAGACCTCAGAGAACCAGGATTAGCCCCATGATCAGGGGCAAGGTGACATCATTAATAGCCTACACCACCTCTGGGACACCACAACTCCTGCTCACCATGGAATTTGCATTTGATGCAGAAAGGCACGTGACCCATCCCTCCCTCTGACTTCTTAGCTGTGATTCCATGGCCACACAACCCTGTGGCTCCATGTCCCCCCCATTCCAGGATCCTCCCTGGCCCCATGACTCCTTGATCCCCATGGCCTCATGACCCCTGACCTTCCATGTGATTTTGACCTGGACTTTGACCCCTGTGACTGTTCTCCCTCTCCCCTCCTGTGATTCTGGCCCTGGCTGCCCTTGGGGTCTTGTTGATCTGAACTTCCCCAGGAAGATGTGGGGGAGGCTCTGGCCCCTCCTCTTCAGCTTCCTCACAGCAACAGCAGTCCCTGGACCCTCACTGCGGAGACCATCCCGAGAGTTAGATGCCACCCCTCGGATGACCATCTCCTATGAAGGTTAGACCCTCAACCTTGAAAGACCATGGCAACCAGAGCTGGGGGCAGGAGGCAGCCTCCAAATGGTTCACTGCCTCTCCTTTCCCCAGAGCTCTCTGGGATCCGGCACTTCAAGGGCCAAGCCCAGAACTATTCAACACTGCTGCTGGAGGAGGCTTCTGGGAGGCTGCTGGTGGGGGCTCGAGGTGCCCTATTCTCTCTCAGTGCCCGTGACATAGGAGATGGGGCTCACAAAGAGGTCAGCCCCCAAGCACCTGAACCAGCCACTGGGTCTCCAGCCTCATCCAGCTCCCTGGGACCTCAACTGCCAGAAACGCTGCCAGCTTTCCATAGGCCCTGGACACCACTGCCCTTCCCAGCCCAGGGCTCCCTTGCCTCAGTGTTCCTCCTTCAATTCACCCCCACCCCAATTTCCCCAGTGCTCTGGAGCCCTCCTGCCTGGTTCTTTGGGCAGTGGGTCTTGGGGTTAATGCCGCAGCCCTTTCCCTTTACCCTCACTAGATCCACTGGGAGGCCTCCCCAGAGATGCAAAGCAAATGTCATCAAAAAGGGAAAAACAACCAGGTATGTGACCTGCCCTATCCCTAGCTCTTCATCCTTCTTCCTCCTGAGTAGGCAGGGGTGCCAGAGTTGGGAGGGACACAGATGGGAAAGTATGGAAGCTCAGCCAACTGCACGACCACAGTAAGCCTGATGGCTGCTGCAGGAGTGGCAGGCCTTGAGGACAGCCCTTCCAAGCGAACCATTTCTGGCCTGTAGATTGGTTTGCATGGTATCTTAATCCCCTCTGGGAGCTCAGATTATAATCATAACAATAAGTAACTGTTAATAAGTGCTGACTTAGCTGTGATCTTTATCTAGTTCTAAAATAATCCTATGATGTATTATTATCCCCATTTCATAGGTAGGAAAAATGAGACCTTAGAAGAAGGACTAGTTCAAATACCAAGTATTGATAGAGGGACATTAGTCAAGTATTAACCCTTTCCAGCTAAAGGTCAGGGTTTCTGCAGGGATCTTGTGTCTAGTTATGTAACATCAATTTGAAGAGCTTTTTTTTTTTTTTTTGTCTATTTGAGACAAGGTCTCCCTGTAGCTGTAGCCCCAGCTGGCCTGGAACTCACTATGTAGACCAGGCTGGCCTCCAACTCACAAAGATGTCTCTGCCTCCCAAGTTCTAGGATTAGAAGTATGCACCACCATGTCCAGTACTGAAGAGCTTTAAAAATATATACTTTATTTATTATTTTTAGTTTATATGTATGAGTGTATTGCCTGCATGTGTGTTAAGTGCACCCATGTCATGCAATGCCTGCAGACGTCAGAAGAGGGTGCTGGATTCCCCTGGAACTGGAGTTATGGACAGTTGTTAGCCACCATGTGGGTGCTGGGAATTGAACCTGGGTCCTCTGCAAGAGCAGCCAGTGCTCTTAACCACTAAGCCATCCCTCCAGCCCCTGGAGAATTTTTTTTTTTAAATACATATTCCTGGGCCAGCAACATGGCTTAATAGGTTAAGGCACTTGCCATCAAGCCTTACGACCTGAGTTCAATCCCTGGGATCCACATGGTGGAAGGAAGGAACTGACTCCCACAAGTTGTCCTCTGACTTCCCAACATATGCTATGGTTGGGCACACACATATACACACACTAAATAAATAAATGCAAAACAAGCAAAAAATATACATTTCAAGCCAGGCATGGCGGCACATGTATGTAATCCCAGCCCTTGGGAAGCTGAGGCAGGAGGATTGCCAAGAGTTTGAGGCCACCATGGGCTAAAAAACCCTGACTTAAAAAAAAAAAGCTACATACACGCACACACACAACAACAACAACAACAAAAATACACTTTCACACCAGGCATGGTAGTGGTGCATGCTTGCAATCCCAGCACTGGAGAGGTGGAGTCAGGAAGATCAAGAGTTCAAGGAAAGCTTTGACTCAAAGCAAGTTTGAGGCCAGACCCTGTCTTGAAACAAAAGCAATAGACATTTCCAAAGGTCCACCCTATAGATTCAGTGGATCTGGGGTGGTGCTGGGACAGCTGCCTTTAATGACACCCCTCCAGGACTTTCCATCAAAGGCTGCCTCAGAGTAATGTGGGTAGTAAACAGAACTAGTAAGGTAGATAGAATTCAGGTCACAAAGGATCATAAACACCCAGTCGAGGAAGAGGATTTTATTCTGCAACAATTCTACACCCTCATTATTTGATGCCTTAGAGACCCTCAAACTTTAATGCACACATGAATCATAGGGGGTATATCATAAAAGCAGGTGCTAGCTCAGTAGGTCTGGGAAGAGCCCAAGATTCCAGTTCTAGAAAGCCTAGGTGAAGCTGATGTTGCTGGTTCCCAGACCACTCTGGGTAGCAAGGTGTCAGAGAACATTTACCAAAGCAAAGAACACTAGTTTTCAAAAGAAGGATCAATGATCAAGTCAAGGGCAATATTCTCAATCCCACAGAGCATGCCACATCCTTAAGGCTCTGAGAAGTCCCTCAGTAAAGATAGGTTTGATTGTACTTTCCAAACTCATTTTGCTACAAATTCTTCCCAACATGCCTTTTAAAAATGTAAACATCTCAGGGAAAAGCTATTCTAGAAATGTTTGTCTTACCCCCATGACCAGATGGATTTAAATAGACTGAGTTAGGGCTGGGGATTTGGCTCAGTGGTAGAGCGCTTGCCTAGCAAGTGCAAGGCCCTGGGTTCCAGCCTCAACTCCAGGGGGAAAAAGACAAAATAAATAGACTGAACCTACAGACAGGAAAAACAGGGGAGCATCCTAGGGTTAGGAAGAAGGCCTGAGCAGGCTGATCGAAGGAACAGACACAGAAGACTGCAGCAGGTGACAGAGTGAGTGGAAATGAGTCCTGCATGGATTCAAATCCTGGGAAACAGGAAAGAGGATGAGGAATTATTAACATAGTGAAGAAGTGAAGAGGCAGTAGCTTCAGGGATCTAAGGGGCAGAGAAAGCCAGTGTGGCTGGAGTCAAGTGAGGCAGAAAGGAGTGGGGCCAAGGGCATGTGGGACTCTGTGTTCAGAACCCTGGTGAGCCACTGCTGTGACATGGTATGGTTTACATATGTGATGCTTTGGAAAGTGGGTTGGAAGGGAGCAAGAAGATGTTGACTGATGAGCTATCTCTGGAAGGAAACTTCAGACAGTGGTGGCAGAAGTCCCCTTTGCAGGAATAAATGAGAAGCTGTTGACAACATATCCATTGTACTGTTTGAGTTTTACACACTATTCAAGTATTCCTCATTCCCTGTTGTTATACAGAGTGACAGAAGGTTGGGAGGGTGATCAGGTGGCCAATACAGTTGTCTAAGGAAGAAGTGATGGTTATTTGGCCTGGGTGATAGTGGTGGAGGTAAAGTGGGCGAAGTTTAAGAACCACTTGAGACAAACAATGAATCATGGAGAGGGACTGAGTGTGGAGGCAAAGGAGTGGGCAAAGATGACACCCAGCTGCTGGACCCACAGCAGGATGGATGCAGGATGAGGTGGGAAAGACTGAACAAATAGATTTAAGAGGGAAGTAAGATGCAGGTCAGGGAGAAGGGGATGGGCTTGCTTTCTCACAAAGTGAGACTGACATTGCTGATAGTAGGCCAAGAGAGGGCTAGAGCCTAGTGATGGATTTGTAGGAGCTCCAGGATTGGGAGGGGCATTGGTAAGAAAGAAGTGTTTGTCCTATAGGTGGGGTCAAGAGCCAGACTACAAAGCTAGACTAATAGAGCAGGCTTATGGCCAGGCAGGGGACTCACCACTCCCTTGCTTTGTCCATAGACGGAATGCTTCAACCATGTACGATTCCTTCAGCGGCTCAACGCCACCCACCTCTACGCATGCGGTACTCATGCCTTCCAGCCCCTTTGTGCAGCCATTGTAAGTATCCCTGCCCACAGCCCCAAGTGCTGAGCCCACACTGGCCTGACCTCGGGCTGCATCCCTTGTCTTCAGGACCACTGATTGGGAACCCTTGTTTCTCCAGGATGCTGAGGCCTTTACCTTGCCAACTAGCTTTGAGGAGGGAAAGGAGAAGTGTCCTTATGACCCAGCCCGTGGCTTCACCGGCCTCATCATCGGTGAGCAGGCACTCCTCCTGTGCCCCAGCTCTCATCCACAAGAATGCTGTGATCAGGATGTGGACCTTTTGCTAGGATTCTCCACTTACGTGTGTTGTATGTCCTGTTGGACATGACATGTATCTCACACTCCAGATGGAGGCCTCTATACAGCCACACGGTATGAATTCCGGAGCATTCCTGACATCCGCCGGAGCCGCCACCCACACTCTCTGAGAACTGAAGAGGCACCCATGCACTGGCTCAATGGTTAGGATGAGGCACAGGATGATGGGGGGCAGGGATCTATTTCTTCATTTTTACTCCCTTGGGCAGCTGACCATCCCATCCCCAAATCCCCAGGTGAGCCTGTCCAGTTCACTCCAGTGTGTTGTCAGAGGAGGTAGGAGTGGGAGAGAGATCCCAGCCTGTCTTAGAAGCCACCTGAACTATTCAACCTACAGATGCTGAGTTTGTGTTCTCTGTGCTGGTGCGGGAGAGCAAGGCCAGTGCAATGGGTGATGACGACAAGATTTACTACTTCTTCATGGAGCGTGAGGAAGGCTCCAGCAGCTTCACTCAGAGCCGCAGCAGCCATCGAGTAGCTAGAGTGGCCCGTGTGTGTAAGGTGCATAGTGCTGAAGTTAGGGTCTGGGGAGAGGCTAGACTGACCTCTGACTCCTAACCCTGTGTCCCTATCTCCTCAGGGAGATCTGGGCGGGAAAAAGATCCTGCAGAAGAAGTGGACATCCTTCCTGAAGGCTCGTCTCATCTGTCACATTCCACAGTATGAGACACTACGTGGAGTCTTCAGCCTGCACCCTGACACTTCAGCCCACACGCACTTCTATGCAGCCTTCACACTCTCAACACAGTGGTAAGCTCAGGGGCAGTAGAGAAGGCCAGGAACTGAGGAAGCATGGGGCTGGAGCAGAGGTCAATGAGGATAAGAATCTGTTGGGGGAGAGCTGGCTGCAAAGGGAAAATGTTAGGCAGGTCAAGGTATCCTAGGACCAGAGCCGTGGTGGCTCACTGGTGCACAGGACAGATCTATAGGCTCACAATAGAGATGGACCATGGCTTCAGGCTAAGCATGAATTGGGAGCAGGCTCTACTCAATGTGTCTAACTCCTCCTCTATGTCCGATCCCTAGGAAGACTCTAGAGGCTTCAGCCATCTGTCGCTATGACCTGTCTGAGATGCAGGCTGTCTTCACAGGCCCCTTCATGGAATACCAGGATGGTGCCCGGCGCTGGGGCCGCTACGAAGGTGGGGTGCCTGAGCCCCGACCTGGCTCAGTGAGTACCCACGCCTGAGGCCCACTCTAAGTGGATGGAGCCCTGGGAGGAAGAAGGGTTCGGCCTTGTGAAGAGGGAGTCAGGTAGTGGAGTCCTGAGGTTCATCACCCATCCCCCACTCCAGTGCATCACAGATTCATTGCGCAGCCGAGGCTACAACTCATCTCAAGACTTGCCATCCCTGGTTCTGGACTTTGTAAAGTTGCATCCACTGATGGCTCGGCCTGTGGTGCCCACACGTGGACGGCCCCTGCTGCTGAAGCGCAATGTACGCTACACACATCTCACAGGAACACAAGTCACCACGCCTACTGGACCCACCTATGACCTGCTCTTTCTGGGCACAGGTGCTTCTGACCCAAATCCCTGATCCTCATTGACCTTAATCACTAATGCTTCTGAACCCAGTAATTCCAGCCACGGTTGGCCAGCAGCACCCAAAGTCCTGCGGGTCCACTGCTGATGTCTGACTCCTTGTCCCTGACCTTATGCTTCCCAAGCTGTTCCCATTGGCTTCCTGTGGGGTACTGAGAGGACATCACACTGTTGAGGTCTGACTTATGTCTTTTCCATGCCAGCTGATGGCTGGATTCACAAGGCCGTAGTCCTGAGCTCTGGGATGCACATTATTGAAGAGACACAGGTGTTCAGGAAGCCTCAGTCTGTGGAGAATCTAGCCATCTCTCCAATGCAGGTAGCCCTGACTTATGGCCTTTAATATGTCCTTGCTAGAACAGGAGTGGGGAGGCTGGGCAGAGGCTGGGGAGATGCTGACCAACTATCATCTCTGGCTCCCAGCACAGCTTGTACGTGGGGGCTGCTAGTGGAGTCATCCAGCTACCACTGTCCAGCTGCTTGCGCTACCGTTCCTGCTATGACTGCATCCTAGCCCGGGACCCCTACTGTGGCTGGGACCCCAGCACCCATGCCTGCATAGTGGCCACCACAATAGTTAACAGGTCCCAGGGTCGAGGTTGGGAGTGGAGATGGGATACATGTGGCCTAAGTGGAAGGGGAAAGCCTGCCAGATATGGGGGTGGTTATTGTTAACCCTGCTGACCCTTTCACTGGGGGGAACCAAAGCTCAGTTTCCCTTGTTCATGAATCTTGATCTTCTGTCCCCAGGGCAGCACTGATACAGGACATAGAGAGAGGAAATCGAGGCTGTGAGGGCAGCAGGGATACAGGTAAGTGGCACTCATGGACATGTGGATGTTTGTGGGTGGATGTGCCTGTGTGCCTTTGTTGAGGATCTCCCAGCAGAGTAAGAGCTCAGCAGATGCTTATTACCCAAATAAATTATAAAGAAGCAGATTCAAGATGCGGTGTCAGACTGGGTATGTAGCTGAGTGATAGAGCTCCTGCCTAACATGTATATGGTCCTGGTTTGATCTCCAACAAAACAGACACATAAACACACACACAGGTCAAATATCTTGTCACTTCTGAAGCTTATACCTAAGTGGTAGGGGCATGTAAACACACAAATAATTAACTGCAATTATTAACTGCAACCACAATAAGGTACAGAAGGGTAATGGGTGTTTCCCCCAAAGAAGATCAGGTAGCTGAGCTGTTATCTGAAGGAAGAACAAAAGTAAGAAATCATAGTTCATATGCTCGGCATGGTGGCACATGCCTTTAGGGATCTCTGTGAATTCAAGGCCATCCTGGTCTACTTAGGTCAGCTGGGGATACAGGGAGACACTGTCTCAAAAAAGACCAAAAAGAAAGAAAAGAAATCATAGCTAAGGAACTGCATACTCACTATGTACCAAGCACTGATCTCAGTACTTGCATGCATTTATTCTCACAATACTCCATGTGAGAGGTGCTGCTGTTATCCCCATGAGGGACAACCTCTCTGAGACATGGGGAATATAAGGAAATTGTTCATAGTTACTCAGTTATTAAGCAGCAGGGTCAGAATCAACTTGACCCCAAGCAATCTGATTGCAGTTTGTATTTCTGATCACTATGTTGTGCTATCTCCCACAAGTTAACCAAGCAGGCAGAGGGCATGGGTAGGGTGATGACACCTAAGCAGAGGGACCAGCAGGAGGGAGGATCATGCTGACAATTTTGGTCTTTATATGAAAAGCAAAAGGATGCCTCTGAAGAGTTTTACACTAGGAAGTAGCATCATCAGATTTTTTAATTTTTTAATTACATTTTTATTTTGTATGTGTATGTGGTGTGTGAGAGCATGTGACATGGTGCATGTGTGGAGATCAGAAGACAATTTAAAGGAGTCGGTTTTCTCCTAACATGTAAGTCCTAGGGATTAATCTGAGGTTGTCAGGCTTGGCAGCAAGTGCCTTTACCCACTGAACTGTTTCACCCGCCCAGATTTGTGGTCTTAGAGGATCACCTATGGCTGCATGGAGAATGGATTGAATGAGGCCCAAGAGGACTGGCAGCCATGGAAGGAGAGAAGTGAACAGGTCTGAGATAGATTCTCCTGAGAGTTAGATACGAAGATGAGGAAGAGAAGGGAACCACCCAGTCTTCTGACTTAAACAGATGAGTAGCTGATCATAGCAATTCGAAAGACCTGGTATAGTATGTGAATGAGGTGCCTGAGACTTCATATGGAGATACCCAGCTCATGGTAAATATTCAAGTCTGGTATTCAGGAAAGGGAGCTGTGTGGAAGGTAGACATTAGAAGTCTTTGGCAGATGGCAGGAACTGAAACTATAGGGGAGAGGAGCTTGGAGAGAGAAGGGAAAGAGCCCAAGCACCACCTGCTTCCTAGGAAAGGCTAGTGGGCAGCCTGGTGGGGGCATGCACACATAGGCTTGTTCAGCTGTCACTGATTCCAGACTCTGCACTTGCTGCCAAAAACTCAGCAGTCTACAGTCTTGCCATCTCCAATGCTGTCTGAGATGGGCAAGTATTGACCTTCCTCCTCCCTCCCCAGGGTCACCACTACCACTGAAGACACGCTCTGTGCTCCGAGGTGATGATGTCCTCCTGCCCTGTGACCAGCCATCTAATCTGGCCCGGGCTTTGTGGCTACTCAATGGGAGCAAAAGCCTGAGTGATGGGCAGGATGGCTACCGTGTGGGTGTGGATGGGCTGCTGGTAACAGACACACAGCTAGAACACACTGGCAACTATGGCTGCTACGCTGAGGAGAATGGCCTCCGTACACTGCTGGCTTCCTACAGCCTCACAGTCCGGCCAGCCACTCCTGCCCCAGCTCCACAAGACCCTGCCACGACTGGGGCACAGCTGGCACATGACATGAGATTGCTCTACGTGGTGGCCATTGCCATACTTGGTGGCCTCTGCCTCATTTTGGCATCCTCCCTCCTCTATGTGGCTTGTCTGAAGGGAGGCAGAAAAGGACGCCGAAGGAAATACTCACTGGGTCGGGCTGGCCGGGCAGGGGGCTCAGCTGTGCAGCTGCAGACAGTCTCAGGCCAGTGTCCTGGAGAGGAAGATGAAGGTGATGATGGGGAGGGGGCTGGAGGCCTGGAGGGTGGCTGCCTCCAGATCATCCCTGGAGAAGGAACCCCAGCCCCACCACCCCCACCACC